AATTAATAATACTTAAAAACTACTGGGTTTCTAACCACCAACACTTACTCGCCATAAAGCGAATTTTATTTATTAATAATACTAAAATCTGTTCAGATTTTAATTGTAGTCACTTGCTGGCCTACAATCATATTGTATTTAACAACAATACTCGACTATTGTTAGGTTTCTAATCACCGTTGCTAACTCACCTAAGGGCGTATTTTTTTATTAATACTACTTCAAAACTGTTTGGTCTTTCATCGCTGATCTTATTTATTTATTTAATAATTATACTAAACAACAGTTGTATTCCTAATACCTAATGCTTACTTGCCTTAAAGCATATTTTATTGATTAATATTACTAAGAAACTAGTAGGTTTCTAATCGCCAATGCGTACTCGCCTGAGAGCGTATTTTACTTATCTATAATATTAAGGATCTGTTGGGTTTCTAATCACCAATGCTTCCTCGCCTTAGATCGTTTTTTATTTAATAATAGTTCTAAAAAGTCTGCTAGGTTACTAATCGCTAATGCTCACTCGCCTAAGAGCGTATGTTCTTTATTAATACTAAAAAACTGTTGGGTTGCTAATCACCAATGCTTAGTCACCTGAGATAGTATTTTATTCATTTATAATATCAAAAAAATTAAGTTCTCTCATCGCCAATGCTTGCTCATCTGAGAGTGTTTCTTATTTATCAATGATTCTGAAAAACTAGAAGAGCCGATCAATACTCAGCATCATAACAATATATAATAAATGTATAGGATTTACTTAAATGCAAGGACCAGCTTACTTCTTGTGTAAAAACTTTCTAATCTTTTCAAAGTAGCATAGTCTATTGATTACATAAATATTACATGAACATCATCAATTATAAAGTAAGAAAGTTATCAATTGTGACGTGGTAAACCGACGTCACGGTAGGAAGGTATGTCATAGTAGCAGACAAGAGGAGAGGTGGCACTATGCACACCAACACTACCCCACACACAGCCCTCGTACCGATCTATCCCTTCACTCATCCCTACTATAGGCAGCCCTTGACTGTGTGCAGCGGCGGGTATGTGTGCGCACCGACGCATACACAGGCAGGTAGCTACAGTATCAGGGAGCACGAATCGGCAAGGCGACAAGAAAGACACTCTCCATCTTGTCTGCTTCCCGCCAGGACGTATAATCCGAGGCCTCGCAGCGTTATATAGTTATACGGGTGTGTGTGCGAGATACGACTGTGTGCTGTACCGAGCGGCCACGGGAGACGCCCAACAACGGCTGCCTGTTGGCTACCCGGACTGACACTGCGACCTTCACACACACGCTGTCAAGGACTGCTGGGTTCAAGTACCAACCCCTGCTCGTCGGACCTCCCGGTGCCCGAGGATAGTGCCACAGAGAGACCCCTGCAGTAACGAAAGAACGGTAGGCCTACTTCCTATTTATCCCGTCCCTACCGTAGACAAGCATTGTGCCGAGCAGCAACTGCCGAACCTGCACCTGCAGGGCTGAGGTTGTATTGAGTCAGGCCAAGCCCGATAGTCGGGCAGAGTAAGCGTTGTATAAAAATACTAATAAGTTCTGAGTTATTAATAAATTTAAATAAATGCTTAGATGTACACTGATTGCCAGCTACCTCTCCTATCCGCTTAGCCCTAAAGTAAATCATAAAAAAAAATAATTTTATATGTGCCGTGTCTTTATGCTGACTACAAAGTGAGCAAGGCACGACACATCACATGGAGCGCGACTAGTTGAACAGGCAATTGCTCGACGCAGTGCTTTAAGTGGCCATTTTGGGTGTGCGCCGTATGCCTA